AGAGGAATCAATTAACTTTGTTGCTCGGTCACATATCAGTCATCTATATTTTTTATGATGGCATAGATACTCCATTTACTTCTTTTAATTAAGATGAATTAAGGATTAAGTTGAATTGCAATTATAAATTCATTTTTGTAATAATTCTATTTATTATAACATTATATATGCTAGTTAACATTAGTTTAAGGCATTTAAAAGTCACAAGCTCCATCGCCCGAAACCTATGTATTTCACGAACTTATGTATAAGAAACTCTACTGATGTAGATATGCTAATTAAGTTAGTATGTACTCATTTTTATTGTTTTTAAATTGGTCCGTCTGACATGCTCAAATTTTTTATATAAGTAATAAATGCTACCTTGATTGTGGTAGCCAGATTTATGGGTAAATGTGTGTTAGAGATATTATAATTAGCGCACTTAAAAAACTCGTTTTTTAACTATTTCCCAAATAAATTTTATTTAATGACAGCCTTAGATACATACATATATGTGTATAACAATCTCAGTGTTAAAAATAAAGCTAAACTATATTTTAATAGAACTGCATCACAACCATTAATTATCTTCCAAGATCAAGTAAAATCTTTACAAAGAGAATTATTATATTACACCAATGTCAAAATAATTTAAGAAAAATCTTTTTAGTACTCTCAAGTTTTAGAATTAAACCAGAACCGAAAATTATATTTAATTTAACTAATTAAATAATAGCGAATTTATTTTCTTCACCTTTTTGCGCATTTCTATTCCATTTCCATGATTTATTGTTCAAACAGTCGCTCGATTTAACTGTTTCAATAGAAATTAAGCTATTATATATACATTGATCATGTTTGCCAAATATAAATAATCTTTTTAAGATGAATAAGCCCATTTTTTATGCACTATTCCGTGTTTCGGCGGAGGAGTAAGTGCACCAATAATGTGTCTGGCCCCGTCTTGCGGTGCTACCTACGCAACTTCATGCCTACATACAAAATCGGCTTTAGCTGTAGCTTTTGCCTTATGTGGGGTTATCAACAGTGGTGTAGGCAAAAATGTATTTCAATTCTTCAAAGGGATTTTATTAGTCTTTATTTTGTGAAGTTTTTTAATGCTTATTAAATTATATTGTTAAAAAGTCAAAAATGTTTTTTTAATGACGGACTTTTAATATTACCACATTCAATTCAACATACAATTATTTTTATTGAAATGTGTAGATGTTTCTTTTAAAAAATAAGGTTGTTTTTGTATGGGAATATATTCCTTAATAATTATTCACATATTTTATATTATATATCATAATAAGATAATTAAAACGTAACAAAATTGTGTACTCCTGGTGAAATAGATTATCGCGACTATAGCAGATCTTTTATGCCTAATCAAACAGACTTGCAAAATAGAAATTTATGTGTACTACCTTATGTCTATTAATCGAATAGACTAATTCAACATTTTGACTAAAAGCCAGAATGTTTTTAATGAGGAACTTTTCGCTTCAAATATAGGCAAGCACTGTTTTCTCAGCACTTTCTTCCTAATTCACATGGAATCTGTATAGTCAGAATATTTCTTTTGATAATTTCCTTTCTATTCCACTACAACCAGCCCAACTCACACAACTATACTAACTAATCAAACATACTAAATTTTGTTTTTTGAATAAAGTGGAGAAACTTTTTTACAGTTAAATTTCTAGTTGCAGATAGAGTTAAGAGCTGTATCTACACCGTGCAATTACGAAGAAAATAAGATCGTCACGTTCTTTAAGAAGACGATCAGACAGACCTATCTTCTTAAGATGGTGACACAAGTTAAGATATCCTTTCAAGTAGAATACAGTATATTTAAAAATTTAAAATATATTGATTCGAAGAGATCTTCGAATTCGGGGAAACGACCTGTCATACAGCTTCTGAAAGAATATAATGGAAATAATAAGAATATAAACCTATTCTCATGTATGAGCTAAATATTTTTGGTGTCTCTTGTTTGGTGTAAAAATGTTCAAATTTAGAGACTAATATCTTAAAAATCAAGTTGTATTACTTGGTGGTGTAAAAATAGCTGAGTTTACTTATATTTGTTGTTAAATGTGGTTTTCTGGAAAACCGAAATCATATCAAAATATGATCAAAACGAAATGATTTGAGCAAATCAAATGTTCACCAGAGAAAAGAGCTTTCATTAAATAAATGTATACATTATACAGTTTAGTTTTGCATTAAAGTTCTACATCCCAATTAAAATATTAATTATGTATATTATATAGTATAGCGCTTTTGTAGTCTTAAAAAAATGGATAGTACTTTTGTGTTCTTCCAGCTTCAGTCTTCTTAAGTTAATATTGAGCCATTTGGTAAGATGACTGTAGACAGATGTTAACAGTTGAGAAATATTCAAAAATGCTGTCTTCATATCAGACTACTTATAGAGATTTGCTGATATAACCGAAGAGGAGTAGTCTTGTGATAAAGAGAGTAAATATCATTGCAGTTATTCAGTTTTTTGTACCGTATTCATAATGTATATATAATCGTCTCTACTATCAATGTTTTATTACCCATCATTCTTTGAAATTACACAAATAACTTTATTAACTTCTCTTATGTTATGCACGCATACAGTGCTCAATCTTCTTTAAATACAATATCATAATATACCAAAGTTTCTTTCATAGAATTTTTCCAGTAAACTCTGGTAATCATTGCCATTGATTTTGTACTTGTGGATTATTAAGTCTGTTTATACTACATCTAGCTATTGATTCCTTTGTATTCATCATACTATTAAATTATTTTATTTTCCTTTAAAGAAAAAAAAAATTTATTTATGCTTTCATTGTTAACTATACAATGTACATTTATTTAGAAAACAACAGCATTTTACCATTTAATAGTACCAATACCCCACAAAATAAATGGTAACAGCTAAAAAGCTACTTAAGAGCACGAAAAATATAAAAAAAAAATGTCATAATGAAATGAAAACCTGCCACTTAACAGCACTAAAAAAACACAAAATTCTATATAAAGTTTCTGTAAACTGTTTTCATTTAAACTTGTTTAATATTATGCTATAAAAGAAATAGAAATTGGAGTAATATCATTAAAATTAGCAATGTGATTACAACGACAAATCTTCAGGTTACATAAACTATAGTGAATAGAACATATTTAGTACACATTTTTTAGTATTAACTGTTTAATTCTATTTTTGACAAGAAGAAATTTAATGTCAAATATCAGTTTATTCTGCAGAAGCACTTTTTTTGTTAAAATCCCTAACGGTAACAATGATACGTGGAAAATTATTCTTTTCTTAGTAGCACTTAACTAGTAATTATTTTTTTATTATCACTTTATTTAAATAAATTAGTGCTGTAATGTTATCATTTTATCTATTTTTGCATAAAAAGAAAAATGTTTATAATAATTTTATTTATTTATTACTTGTATATTATTAATTGAAATTTTTTTTTTAATAGTTCAAAATAAATAAAAATAAATAAAACTAAATAAAAATTTTGTTTTTTAACAGGCTAATTGGTTAGTAGTAGGTAATAATACAATTTTTAAAAAAATCTTTTTTTAAAAGATTTTATTTAAACAGATATTTCGACTATAATCTATAGACAACAGCAGGATACTATACAATATTAATATAATGTAACAATATTTTTGTATATATCACAAAAAACAATTATACAATATATTAACATTAAAACATGAATTACATGTAACATATAGATGAAATAATTATACACTACTTTGACGATATATATAAAATACATATATAGAGGAATAATATATATATTCTCTTCCAGATTTGTTGAAGGAGTTTTTATAGTGTTGTATATTAGTTTTATAATTGACCTTGATAACACCAAAGAAAAAACAATATTATTATTAAAAATATTTAATCATTGAAACAATATGATATTTTTATTTTTAAAATAAATTAAAATGAACTATAATCTCCTAAAGAGGACTATAAACTATAGTACCCTGAAGTTGACTTTAGTACTCTGAAGGCGATTATAGATTACAGTAGTCTGAAGATGACTACAGTCTATAGTATCTTGAAAATAACTATAGTCTGTAGTTTCCTAAAGATGATTATAGTCTATAGTACCCTGAAGATGACTATAGTCTGTAGTTTCCTAACGATGCCTATAGTCTATAGTATCCTGAAGATGACTATAGCATATAGTTTCCTAAAGATGACTATAGCATATAGTTTCCTAAAGATGACTATAGTCTGTAGTTTTCTAAAGATGACTACAGTCTATAGTACCTTGAAGATTACTATAGATTATAGTACTTTAAAGATCACTACAGTACTCTGAAGGTAACTATAGAGTATAGTACTCTGAAGATGACTATAGACTATAGTACCTTGAAGTTGACTATAATCTATAGTATCCTGAATATGACTATTGACTATAGTATTGTTCCTTTTATATGACTATAGTTCACAGTCTATTTTTTCGTGAAAATTATATATAATTTATGTAAATAATTTACAAAGTTATTTGAAAAATTGGTGAATTAAAAAATATAAATATTAAAAAACTCTGTCACATATTTCTAACATACATTTGGCCGTGATATTACGTATCACCGAAAACATTATCTATAAAAAATACAAAATACAATTATAGAAAAAAAATTGTTTTTGACATTTTTTAATAATAGTTTTTTCGAACACAAAATACACAACAATGATCTTTTTTCATCGAACGACATCGATCGACATCGATTGGAATTGCTGGACGTCCATCGATAAAAGCGGAGCGTTGGGCCCTTAGCAGCTTTTGCCAACTACGACTGAGTGTGTACGCCTCGTTAAATCGGTTTGCTATACGAGTTTGCTGTGAATGTATGTGTATGTGTGTGCATGTGTGTGTATGCATGTGTGGCTTTGCGCTGACGAAGCCCACTTAGCTTTTAAATTTTTTGTCAAGTAACAGGTTAAAAGATATTTCAGCCACTCCAAACGATCAGTTCGCTTTAAGTTTTGCTGCGGTGCGGTCGATCAATAATAAACTATCTCGTGCGTGTTTCGAAAAATTTAATTTGTTGATTAAGTGTATTAATAAATTAAAATATCTATTATATATTAAGCATAAAGTATTAACACATAATTTAATTTTGTATTTCTGAGTAATATTAATAGTGTTAAGTGTTTCTCTTTTACGACTCTATTGAGTATGCATTTAAATTAATTTTTCATTTTTTTGTGTTTTTGTTGAATATTTAATACTTTAAGTAATTAAAACGACCTTAGCGATAAAATTAAAAAACGACTGTGAACACAGATTCATATGCTTTGAAGAAATAATTCCAAAAAAAAAAGATAAAAATAATACTAAAATATTCGGGTGAAGTTAGTGTATGAAATTCATAAAAAAATTTTATTTTTAAAACGAAATTACGTCATTTTTGTACAAGTAATAAAGAAAAAGCTAAAATAATGGTGTCTAAAAATAATAATAAAAAGAAACAGTTAAAAGTTACTAGCAGCAGCAGCAGCGGTGGCGAGGCGGTGATTGAGAGAAATACCACAAAAAACACGTCAATAAAACCAGTCAAAACGCAACAACAACAGCAGCAAGATTTGGTCACATCATCACAATCAACAAGCGGCGCTACACAGGCGCATATGAAGTCCCAAACACAGATGGAGTCTCACAGTGAGGAGATTTCAGAATCAATGCAAGCTTATAGCAGTGTGGGCGGTGTGAGCAGTGGTAATGTTGCAAGTATGGAGGAATTCGAAAGTAGTAAATCGAGCAAGCAAAATATAACAGAAAGTAAAACAAAAAATTCATCCATGTATTCAACAAAATCTCAACACTATAAACAGATCTCCAATGACTTTTCCAATGAGAAAATCATATCGTCCATCGATCTTATTGAATGTGAAAAAGGGGAACCGGTCTTTTCCGTACCGATCGATGTAATCGAGATCGGCGCTAGCACTAGCAGCAGCAGCATGAAGAAAATGATGTACTCTTCGTCATCATCATCCCAAACACAGGCAATGGCTAGCAGCTCAACACTCATACATTCCGAATCAACAGGTAGCAATGCCGGCGTCAGTAATGAAATCGAAATAATTTGGCCGCAAGAAATTACAAATAAAATGACATCATCATCATCAACATCAACATCAACACTAAAAACAACTGACCAAGCGAACCTTGTCACCAGTAGTCAAAGTGCGAATGTTGATTTTGCGCAGGTTGACGCTGCAGCCACACCAAATATGTCCAAATTGCCAATACAAATAAGTGGTGGTGGTGATGTATCGTCATCCGTGACGTCATCAACTTTACAAACAACTGATGCAAACAATACGACGAATACATTATCAAAACAAAGTCATATAAACCAGACTAACAGCAGCAGCAGCAGCAGCAATACCAACAGCAACAAGCTCAAGACCACAACGAGCAACACGCAAATTTCGGAGAGCGCTTCGAAGCAGAGCAGTACAAGAGAAACGAAATCAATTTCGAAAAAAGAGATTTACGATGAAAAGACAAAAACATGGACTGAGTATAATACGAAGAGCGCAACAAATAAGAGAGTGCCAACACTAGAACGTTATGTGAGTCGTGAATCCGATGGCACATATAAAATAACATATAAGAAAAAAATTTACGATCAACGCAATAACAAATGGAAAATAATTGAAGAGAAAACTGTTGATAGCGCTCATGATACTGGTTACCCCGAAATAGTCGATGATGTCATTAATACAACGACAACAACATATACGACAAAAGTCTACGATACTAAACTTGGTACGTGGAAGGTTGTTGATGAGAAGTCGTTCGTTGATACAAAAGCATTTGTACCAAACGAAATCGTACAAGAGATCGAAAAAGATAACACCGATGTTGCGAATATCACAACAACAACTGAAGTGACCAAGGTATAGTATGAAATAAAAAGTTTGTAGGTTAATATATGTTCTAACGGCACATTAGACGGCATGGCATTAGACTCTGTCTGTTCTGTCAACTTCCTTGTAGTACGTGTCCATCGGTGCTTGAAGAGGAAACATCGGAGCATCTAATCTATCTATGCCCCCAGCCTTTTTTAGACTCAGGTTTAAGCTATTATGCGCCCCATTTTTTAAAATGCTCAGTAATGTTTCCAACATTAGTATTTACCAGACATTTATATTTATCACTATGTTTAGGTTTGTCCAGAACCAGGGTAAAGCTATTGGGCGCCCTATTCTTTAACGCACTCGGTAATATTCCAATGTTAGTATTGGGTAATTACTGCATTTATGAGTATCTCCTGGTTTGTTCAAAACCAAGCTTAAACTATTTGGAACCTAACGCACTTATTTTTTAATACATAAGCTGATATTTCCAACATTAATATTGGTAAGCTAATTTCATTTATCAATGTGTCCAGGTTTGTACAGAACCGGGTTTAAGATATTGCGCGTCTCATTTGTTAACATATTCGGTGATTTTCCTACATTAGTATTGGGTAACTACTTGTATTTATAAGTAAGTCCAGGTTTGTCCAGAATCAGGGTTAAGTTGTGGGCTTCCCATTCTTTAAAACATTCTGTGATATTTTCAAAACTTAAGTTGGCAAGATAGTTGCATTGATCAATATGTCCATAATTGTTCAGAACCAGACTTAAGCTAAAAGGCGCCCCGGCCCTTTCTTTAAAACACTCGGCAATATTTCAAACATTCCTTCTATCCACAATTAAGAGTGATTATCAAAACGCTTTTCGTAAGTAATTGAGGATGATTCGTTCCATCTTTCTCTTCTTCTTCATCTACCTTTATCTTTAATTAAATTAAATAAAAATTTGGTTAGTCAATTAGTCAATTTACATTCGAGTTTCTTCTTATGTTTGTATGTGTGAATGCATCAAACTTTCTTAATGAATTTAAATTGAAGTAATAAACAATCTTCTTCAAAACTTAATGAATTCAATGGATTTATTGCATGAGAAGGAAAATATGTCATTGCGATCGTTGATTTCTCGACTACTGAACTTGTTTCAATTTTATTTTATTTTTTTTTTAAATAAAATTTTTTTCCTTTTAACATGAAAGTAATACAAGTCATCGAAACAACTTTTGCATTAAGTAAAGTTTTTCCAAATAAAGTCAAAAAATGTTGTAGTTTCACGTACTTGACATTATTTGTGGAGGCATACATTATTTTCAAAAATCTCGTTTTGCATAAAAAACAAATTTTATTTATTTTGAGAATGACATCACTAAATTTTCCAATTGTATTTACTAAAAAAGAGACAACATATTCCATTTAACTTATTGATCGTCCTTCAACATTTCTTGAAGATCACTATGAGATCACCTACAATCCATGGTGAACAACTAGTCATCCAAGTGTAGTGAAATAGGTTGAATTAGTTAGTACTCAATGTTACATAAATTTTCCTCACCTATATGGTCATGCATATGACCTTAGGGATATCTTTTAGTGATATCTGGTAACCGGTAAATTCATGGTTAAATGTGTTGAACTAATTGATATTCAAAGCTGGCGCGTACATTCCACATGTCCACATGCATATACCCTTAGCCCATTAAATGGGTAAATGGGTTAAATTAGTTGGCATTTAATGCCGCATATATAGACTCTTGGTTAGGAGATCGGTAGTGATTTAGTCTAGCAGGTGATTGCCATGGTCATACATAGATAGTAGTTTGGTCTAGCATTGCGATGTTCACGCGTAGATCCCATATATCCTTAGAGATATGTTTTAGAGATATGGTGAGATATGGCATTAAGTATGTCACATTTGTTCTTGAGACATTTTTTAGAGTCGTGGATAGGAGATCCGCAATGGCTTGATATAGCAAATGGATTGCGGATGGCTACGCATGGACTCTATATGTGATTAAGTCATTAGTGGTATCTTTTAGAAATGTGAAAGGGAACTATTTCGTATTGAATACTCACCACATGTACTTAGCGATATTTTTTAAAGTTGTAAGCAGGAGATTCAGCAGTAGTTTAGTGTAGATTCCCATGCATAAACCATTGCGGTCTAATTGATGTCTATTAGAAACATATTAAGACCAACTGTGTAGGTTTAATCTAACAACTGAAATAGAATTTTATAATTAATATATCTGTCAATATCTGTCACTGACTTATTTTATTTAAAAAAAAAACTTTCTTTAGTATACTCAATATTTTATTTTATGAATAGACCTCAACCTCCCTGACAAAAACATAACTTTCTTTATTGAAACCAGTAGTAAATTTGCTTAAGAGCGTTAATATCTATTATTTACACAAATTAATTTCTAAGAAATTAATTTTTTTCCAAGAAATGGTTTAATGGTTACCATAGTTTTTTTTATAGTTTTAAGGAAATGATTAATATCTATGGTTCACCTATGATATAGTCAAATAACCTATAATTTCTAACAATAGAACTCTTTTAAATAGATTACAAATTTATAATATTTTATGACTCCTTATATCATAATTCTTTTTAATAAATTAATAATTTTAATCTTAATAACTTAAGCCAGCTTCCATGAAAAAAATTAAGTTTCTTAGAAAAAATTATTATAAGTGATTGTAAGGTATATATTTGTAATATGGGATTGTGGTTTGTATTAGCATAGGGAAAACCTGTAAAATGTTACTCGGTTCCAAAGCACTTAAAAATGCTAGCTGGGTTTAAAGTGTGTCAATTATTTCTCATATATGGTATATGTATTAAGTATTTTTCCAGATATTTTCGTCTTTTGTACATCAATGCATTAGTGCATCACATATTTATAGAATGTATTCAAATGGTAGTAAGCGCTGTATCTGCACTTAAGGTTTCTTGTGCTTAGATGATTACTGAGACACAGTGGCTATTCGTTTGAGGATCAAGTATCGCTTATTTTATAACAAAGAATCTCTTATTTTAAGAATAAAACCAAATTTATAAACACATTAATTTACATTAATAGTTTACATTAATAATTTAACCGCCAGTTAAATTAATTAGTGTATATTTATCACTTAAGATCTTATCACTACATATTGTCATTTTACTATCTTAAACATAATACATACAAATTTAGAAAATATAAAATAGGTTCTATTATGCGTTAGATCTACAGGGTGTTTTTTTAAGAGGCGTCTGAAAAGCAATGAAAGCAATTAAGGCTAATAAGTCAAAATATTTATGTTCAACATATAATTCTATGGAATTAATACCCAAAAATAAAAAAGAGACAATCAGTTTAATGTTAGATAAACATCTTTTGGAAACTTCAAAATGTTATTAATATTAATAATATTATTATTGAAAATAAAAACATTTAGATACACATATTTTAAGAAAAAAATAAATTTCTATAGTGTATAGTGTAAACATAAGTTAGAGAAGTGCTATTCGCAAGCACTAAAATTCAACATATAGTCTTTATAAATATATATAAATGAATTTTAAGTTCATGTTAGTGTCTTAAATACTGAACTTTAATATATTGAACTCTGGTCGAAGTTTGTTTATCTAGTTGACTTCCTAATTTTGTTGAATTCTAAAAATGATATTATAGTAAACTTTTATTTCTTGATAAATTATTTTATATTAATTTTAAACGTAATTCAAATGTCTCCTTAAATTATTTTAGTAAATGATGTGGATAGTTTTTGTGATTTGCCATTCATATCTGTTTATTTTCCAGTTGGATGCACTAGTATTTGACTGCATTTCCAAGTAGAATAATGCATCAGAACCAATTCGCTGTATACGTATTATAAAAATGTTTGTCTTGTGTTGTACTTTAAACTCTAATTTGTATGCAGTATTGTCAGCAATTATCGCAATCATGGTGTCATATTTCTCAGACTCTAGTATAATAGCTGTATATTAAGTATATTGTATATATGTTAATGTAATTTAATTAACCAATTATAATACCTCGTAGGATTCCGCCTGATATTTTAGGTGCGGAAGAAGTGCTGTCATTTTATATAACACTATCGATCATTCAAATCTTATATCTAAAAATAATAATTAATATTCAATAGAATACATATTTATATAAAAAATTTTACCAGTAGTTTCGTGTGCAAACTACTTATTTTCATTTATTTCAGTTAGAATAGTGGTTAGTGGTACTCTCTAATTACATTTATACATTACATTGATAGGTTTAAGTGTAATAAGGCAAATCGACTTACGTTTGCAGTAGCGTAGGAAATCAACATCTTATAATAGAGCGGGTGGAATTTCAAGGTTATAACTTCCGGACTTTCATTCACAGTAGAAATATTCATCTACATATGTATATGAGTACTGATATATTGGTGCGGGTGTATAGAATTTAATAGAAACGCTAAATAAATATAGTTCTTTAAAGAAATATTAACAATTTGAAAAAATTTGCAATATTGTCTAAAACTAAAACAGAAAATATTAACAATTTATAATACCCTGCTGAAAATTATTTGATAATATCAATTATAGACTATACCTATCTAGGAAATGGTTTTTGTGATTCCTGAAAATAAATTTTTAGTATATTTTCTTCATTAGGATGTAGGTTAATTTTCAGTATTTAAGAACGCCCTACTCGATAAAATACAAATTTAGTATCATGGTGAAAAATGGACGATTAAAACTTATCACTTGGAGTAATGTATTTGTATGTTCTTCCATTTTCTAAAACAACTAGAGCCCGTTATCTATGATGGACGCTTGAATGTAGAATATCAAAGACCACTAACAGAACTATACAACTCTTTTATTAAATAAATGTAAATTTGGTAACGGTGTAGACAATAGATAATTAGTATAGACCATTTATAGCAATGTACTATAAACCTCTATGTTTTTAAAGATAATTAGGCGAAAAGATGAATATATTGAAATACTGATATATGAGCAGCGTTTTTAATACCAAACCGATCTGTTCTGTCTCACAGTAATTTTCAAAATATAATTGGTTTATATGATTTCGCTGTTTTCATTTTAAGTCCCAAACATCTAGTCAAATTTTATAATAATCTCAAAAGTGATTGAATTTGTTGTAATTTGATCATACCTAGGTCCAACTCCTTCATTATGAGAAAAGAATAATTTATTTTAATGAGTTATTTTGTTGTCTAATTTAGGTAGCCGTATCCCCTCATTGCTTTCGAATTCTATAGGCTTGTGTTAGATTCGTAATAGATATAAAAACGTATGGCTTATGGTATATAAAAGATAATGATATGTTATATATATATTAGTAATAATATTTAATTTTAGTTCATTTGATTTAAAAAAGAAAATTTCATCCAGAAAATATAATAATTTTTTGGTAAATTTGAAGAATTAAATATTATTTTTATATATAATAACTATAACATTATAAGCTATTTGAAACGTTTATATACAAATATATATATACATATTCTTAATATTTATATATTAAAAATATATGTTTAATAATGAACTCTAATAATAGAAGATTTTGACCGATTTTTATGAATTAAAAAAGAAATACTTATTCCGAAAATCTCAGTGGTCTTCATAGCTGTATTATTTCCGTTGTTTATTAAAATAAGTTTTTAGCAGAGATCAGTATAATTTTTGTTCTTTGTTAATTGGAATATCTATTTAGGGTATATTTATCACTTTTTTTTTTTAAATGTACGAGTATTATACATAAGGCTAGTGATTTTTGAGCGGAGAGGAAGCAGCCTGGACAACACCTCTTTGATTTGAAAGTATACTTACTTTCTTACAAAAGAAAGTAAGAACTAATACAGTTCTGTATATTTTTTTTCAAAGTCACTGCAGTTCACATTTGTCGAAACCCTATTAGCCGTTGGGATGTCTGAGATGGATTGGAATGTGTCTAATCTAGAATATACGAGTGACTACTAAAACAGCTTAGATATTTCTCATACGCCTTTTGACATATACCGTTCGTCTATATCGGTTTAATTACTTGATCATAAGTTTATGTTGTAGCGAGTTCTGTAGATTGGGTTTAAACCCTCAATAGAGATGTGTGTATTTAAGACAACATTAAGAGAACACTTCATGGTGAAAATATCATTTCATTAAATACAGAAATCAATAATGATTTTCTAATGAAATTAAATTTTTGAGTCATAGTTTTAAATTTTCAAATTTATTTTCGATGACACAAATTTTCCAAGAATTATTTATATACATACATCTGTTTTGGATTATTCATTTAAATGAATAATCTATAAAAAATAAAAATATTTAATGAATAAGTATTCTATCAATTGCAAAGTAAAAACAAACACTTAAAAATAAATTGTTTATATAAAAAAGAAATTTAAAAAAAATAAAATATTTTAACGCATCATCTACGGAACAAGCTTTGAAAGACGTTAATAAAAATAATTAGATACTCGTATAATCATTCTTGCTTTCTTGACAATATAATTTATGTAACAATGTCACGATGAGGTCTTTTTAGAAAGAATTATATCAATTCCAATATTATTAGTATTTGGTAGGCCGGAAGATTAGCTCTTCGTGGAACTGCTTCCATTGATAGATTATTGTATTCTGCTCTATCCATAATTTCTTTCACTTTCATGTTTTTTTTTGATATTTATTAGGATTAGTGTTGAGATATTTGATATATATTAATCATATTCTTTAAGTTCTTGTGTTAATTAAATACTTCTCGATATAATCAGACAGACATTTTTACTTAGCATTCCAATGAATTTTCTTGGTATTTCCTTAGGTATTCTTATTATTAGATGTCCCCAATCCTAGTCATTCAATATTCATCGCAGCGATTGATGCTATGATACGTGTATGTTTGGTTTACGAGTTACCCATATCACTTTAATCAATTTATTTTCTTTGAGAGTTTTATATAGCTTACGATATCGATTCATGATAGTTTCTTGTGGTTCCCAAAGATGAATTTTATAAAAATTCTATCCCGGTTTTTTGTTAATGCTTAGCCTGGTGGATATTTATTACAAAAAAAAACGCAAACGGTTGTAAAATACTTTAGATCATATTGAGACGAATTTACTAACCAGAGTTTTGTTCACCGCAAGTGTGTACCGGGCCTAAGTAAGAGCTTGAAAACTCTTCCATCTCTTTTTTCATAGTTGTTTAGAACTTCAATTCTCTGTGCCTCTATATATAACACAATAGAAGCAGTAATAAGATATTGATACGATTTTCCATTATATACAGAAATTGATTGATGATGTTACATTTATAATTAGTTAGGGAAATAAAGAGCTCTAAGACAAAGGTGTGTTTTATTAAAGACAGAGCTGCTATTACGATTTACAAAAGATTGTACTCTCGCAAAGTTTGCAAGAAATTAAACTCTTTCATAAGTTTTAGGGGTGGCGTTTGAAAGGAGCCTCACTATATCTTTATTGCATACTTTAATTTCATAACTGTTTATTATATCGATTTAAAACGTGATTTCAAAAGGAATATTTATATATTGAAAGCAGAAGTTAAAGTTGAAATATTACTAAGACATAATAATATATTATTAAAATTTTTGTTTTTAGATTTTCGATGCAAGTATTAATGACTGGCGAGTCTTAGATGAAAAGACCCACACCGACGTTTTAGAGAAAATTGTGGAAACTCCAAAAAAGACAATATATATTGATGAGTTTGTTGAAATAGAACGAAACAATGCTCTTGTTGAGGATATTAATAGCTCACTATACAAAAAAAACGAAACTCGAAATGAAAAACTGATCACAAAGGATATTTATGATGAAACCGATACGTTTGTAAACGATTCAAAATCAGTAAGTATATAAATTATTTAAAATTAATAGTCATTTGTAAATATATATTTCGTTTACGTACTACAGAAGAGAATCGCAAAACAATCAACCCATAAGGATAATCGACACACGGAAATGTGTATATGTGAAATTTGCACATGCGGGTAAGCATTGACAATATATTCTTTAATTATGTCAGAAATACATTTTTTTTATTTAATTCTTTTCTTAGGCGACATCATTGTGCTGGTACTGAAACTAAAAAATCCACAAGTGACTATCTCGATACTCAAGGTATGAAATTGTTTTTTTTTTTTCAAAGTTCTGTTTCCCAATTACTGTTAATTTTACATTTTCAGACACAACTTTTGAAACCCAAACTAGGATACGCACAAATACGTGGTCCAAATCAGACTTGGAGGAACTTAGAGAATCTCATAGAAAAGACACAAAATACATTCCAGAGCATAAAAATGACAATTACATAATACGAGCAACACCAGTTAAACCTATAGACAATTTAAAACAAGAAGGCGAATTTTATGTACCTGAAAAACCAACATTTAAGACCGCTGAAAAGATCCAACAAATTATTCGTAAGGATAATCTAACATTAGAAGGTGAAATGACTTTCGTTGAAAACGCAGAATATCAATACACAAGTAGACCACAGCAAATAAAACCAACTGACAACTTACGTTCTGAAGGTGAATTCTATATGCCAGATAAAGTTGGATATATACCAGCAGATAGAACAAGTCCAATTAGGCACAAAGACAACTTAAAAACCGAAGGTGAATTCTACACATCTGAGAAAACAGAATATCAGCAAGCAGAAAAAATAGAGCGTGTTATAAGAAAAGACAATCTTAAATCAGAAGGAGAAATGACTTTTACAGAAAAGGAGAAATACACATATGTTACACGTCCTGAACAAATAAAATATACAGACAATCTTAAACCGGAAGGCGAGTTTTACAAACCAGATAAGCATGAATACAAGCCAGCTGATCGACCAACTCAAAAGAAACCTGAAGACAATCTACGTCCCGAGGGAGAATTTTACGGTCCTGAAAAACCGAAATATAGACCAGGTGAAAGACCAACACAAGTTAAACATGATGACAACCTCAAACCTGAAGGCGAGTTTTATGCTCCCGAAAAACCGAAATACAAACCGGGTGAAAGACCAACCGCAGTAAGACCTGACGACAATTTACGGCCAGAAGGAGAGTTTTATACCCCAGATAAATCTATATTTAAACCTGCAGAGCGACCTCTTCAAAAGAAACCGAAAGACAATTTGCGGCCTGAAGGAGAATTTTATGGACCAGAAAAACCGACATACAGATCAGGCGAACGTCCGGAGCAAGTACGTCATGATGACAACTTGCGCCCAGAAGGCGAGTTCTATACACCAGAGAAACCAACATTTAAACCAGCCGAGCGTCCCATTCAAAAAAAACCCGAAGATAATTTGCGGCCAGAAGGCGAATTTTACACACCTGAAAAATCAAAATATAGACCAGGTGAAAGACCAATTCAAGTTCGGCACGATGATAATCTTAAACCTGAAGGCGAATTTTACGCTCCAGAAAAAACAAAATATAAACCTGGAGAAAGACCAACTCAGGTTCGACCAGATGATAACCTTAAACCTGAAGGTGAATTCTATGTTCCTGAAAAAACACAATTCAAGCCCGCAGAGAAAACACAACGAGTTATTCGTAAAGATAATTTGAAGACAGAAGGTGAAATGACATTCGTTGAGAGGGAAGAATATCAATATGTTATCAGACCAGAACAAGTAAAACCAACTGATAACTTAAAGCCTGAAGGAAAATTCTATACACCAGATAAAGTTGATTTTGAACCTGCTGAGAGACCTGTCCAAAAGAAACACAAAGACAATTTACGACCGGAAGGTGAATTCTACACTCCTGAGAAACCGACATACAAACCAGGTGAAAGACCAACTCAAGTTCGTCCCGATGATAATCTCAAACCTGAAGGTGAATTCTATGCTCCAGAAAAACTAAAATATAAACCAGGTGAGAGACCAACTCAAGTTCGACCAGATGACAATCTACGTCCTGAAGGTGAATTCTATACACCAGAGAAACCAACGTATAAGCCGGCTGAACGTCCCATTCAAAAGAAACCAGAAGATAACTTGCGGCCAGAAGGTGAATTTCATAGTCCAGAAAAACCAAAATATAGACCAGGTGAAAGACCAACTCAAATTCAACATGATGATAATCTCAAACCTGAAGGCGAGTTCTATGCTCCAGAAAAACCAAAATATAAACCCGGTGAAAGACCGACACAAGTTCGACCTGATGATAATCTCAAGCCTGAAGGTGAATTTTATGCTCCAGAAAAATCAAAATATAAACCTGGAGAAAGACCAACTCAAGTTCGACCCGAAGATAATCTTAAACCTGAAGGTGAATTCTATGTTCCAGAAAAAACACAATTCAAACCCGCAGAGAAAACACAACGAGTTATTCGTAAAGATAATTTGAAGACAGAAGGTGAAATGACATTCGTTGAGAGGGAAGAATATCAATATGTTATCAGACCAGAACAAGTAAAACCCACTGATAACTTAAAGCCTGAAGGAAAATTCTATGCACCAGATAAAGTTGATTTTGAACCAGCTGAGCGACCTGCACAAAAGAAACACAAAGACAACTTACGACCAGAAGGTGAATTTTACACTCCAGAAAAATCGAAATACAAACCAGGTGAGAGACCAACTCAAATTCGACATGATGACAATCTCAAACCTGAAGGCGAGTTCTATGTTCCAGAAAAACCAACATATAAGCCCGGTGAGAGACCAACTCAAGTTCGACCAGATGACAATCTACGTCCTGAAGGTGAATTCTATATACCGGAGAAACCAACGTTTAAGCCGGCTGAACGTCCCATTCAAAAGAAACCCGAAGATAACTTGCGGCCAGAGGGTGAGTTTCATAGTCCCGAAAAACCAAAATATAGACCAGGTGAAAGACCAACTCAAGTTCGACCTGATGATAATCTCAAACCTGAAGGCGAGTTTTATACTCCAGAAAAACCAAAATATAAACCTGGAGAAAGACCAACTCAAGTTCGACCAGATGATAATCTTAAACCTGAAGGTGAATTCTATGTTCCCGAAAAAACACAATTCAAGCCCGCAGAGAAAACACAACGAGTTATTCGTAAAGATAATTTGAAGACAGAAGGTGAAATGACATTCGTTGAGAGGGAAGAATATCAATATGTAGTCAGACCAGAACAAGTAAAACCAACTGATAACTTAAAGCCTGAAGGAAAATTCTATGCACCAGATAAAGTTGATTTTGAACCTGCTGAGAGACCTGTCCAAAAGAAACCAGAAGACAATTTACGACCAGAAGGTGAATTCTACACTCCAGAAAAACCGAAATACAAACCAGGTGAAAGGCCAACTCAAGTTCGGCCTGATGACAATCTCAAACCTGAAGGCGAGTTCTATGCTCCAGAAAAACCAACATACAAGCCCGGTGAAAGACCAACTCAAGTTCGACCTGATGACAACCTACGTCCTGAAGGTGAATTCTATACACCGGAGAAGCCAACGTTTAAGCCGGCTGAACGTCCCATTCAAAAGAAACCCGAAGATAACTTGCGGCCAGAGGGTGAGTTTCATAGTCCCGAAAAACCAAAATATAGACCAGGTGAAAGACCAACTCAAATTCGACCAGATGACAATCTCAAACCTGAAGGCGAGTTCTATGCTCCAGAAAAACCAAAATATAAACCCGGTGAAAGACCAACTCAAGTCCGACCTGATGACAACCTCAAACCTGAAGGTGAATTTTATACTCCGGAAAAACCAAAGTATAAACCAGGTGAAAGACCGACACAAGTTCGACCTGATGATAATCTGAAACCTGAAGGCGAGTTCTATGTTCCAGAGAAAACACAATTCAAGCCCGCAGAGAAAACACAACGAGTTATTCGTAAAGATAATTTGAAGACAGAAGGTGAAATGACATTCGTTGAGAGGGAAGAATATCAATATGTTATCAGACCAGAACAAGTAAAACCAACTGATAACTTAAAGCCTGAAGGAAAATTCTATACACCAGATAAAGTTGATTTTGAACCTGCTGAGAGACCTGTCCAAAAGAAACACAAAGACAATTTACGACCAGAAGGTGAATTCTACACTCCAGAAAAACCGATATACAAACCAGTTGAAAGACCAACACAAGTTCGTCCCGATGATAATCTTCGACCAGAAGGTGAGTTCTACACTCCAGAAAAACCAAAATATAAACCCGGTGAAAGACCAACTCAAGTTCGACCTGATGACAACCTCAAACCTGAAGGTGAATTTTACACTCCCGAAAAACCTAAATATAAACCTGGAGAAAGACCAACTCAAATTCGACCTGATGATAATCTCAAACCAGAAGGTAAGTTCTATGTCCCAGAAAAACTGAAGTATAAGCCTGGTGAAAGACCAACTCAAGTTCGACCCGATGACAACCTACGTCCTGAGGGTGAATTCTATACACCAGAGAAACCAACATTTAAACCAGCCGAGCGTCCCATTCAAAAGAAACCCGAAGATAACTTGCGGCCAGAGGGTGAGTTTCATAGTCCCGAAAAACCAAAATATAGACCAGGTGAAAGACCAACTCAAGTTCGACCTGATGATAAT